GTGTGTGTGTGTGTGTGTGTGTGTGTTTTAGGAATGAAACGATACAGAAAATTTATGATTCGGTTCGATACTTCAGTGTCACGGTTCAAAATTTTTTCAATACAAAAAAAACAGAAATTTCCATGCCTTTCTTAATTTGTAATTTATTGAAATTAGTTCTGAACATTTGTTTAACCTCAAAAGTACAGTTTTTAAAATAAATGTTGCTGAAACAGCAAGTGGACAATGAAGCCTAGGTAGAGTAGCCGAACACAAATCCACTGAGCCTTCAACACAGAGCATCTTCAGAAGACAAGTTGATAAAATTAATTTTAAAAATCGTGTGTTGAACATAAAGCAATGTATTAAACGGCCTGATATAAATACATGTATTGAGGCAATCACTGCAATCAAACAATTCCTGTAACAATCAATGAGAATTCTGTACCTCTCAGCAAGTCTCTTGGCCCACTCCTCATGAGTAAACTTCTCCAGTTGTCTCAGGTTTGAAGAGTGCCTTTTCTAGACGGCATATTTCAGCTCCTTCCAAAGATGCTCAATAGGATTTAGGTCAGGGCTCATAGAAGGCCACCTCGGAATAGTCCAGTGTTTTCCTCTTGGATGGATCTTACATTTCTGAACAATATATGCATATTATATATGCAACTGTAATCACAGGAACATCAAGCTGCTTGGAGATGGTCTTATAACCTTTACCTTTAACATGATAGTCAATAATTTACTTTCTAATCTCCTGAGACATCTCTTTCCTTCGCTTCCTCTGGTCCATGTTGAGTGTGGTCCACAGGAGGGCTGCACCGATTAGTTGAAATAATCGATGACGTCGATTATGTACATTTGTCGACGCAGATTTTTTATTACCGATTCGCTGTATTACATAACCACCACGTGAATGTTCATGCAGTTCCATTTCGGTAAAAGCATCATTGCGACTGTATTGGCATAAGAGTGGTGAGTTTTCCATGCTTGTCCTGAACGCAGCATCGCACAAGAGCGTAATGACATCAGCAGCCGCTGCTTCAATTCAGTCTGAAGCTTGAAAACAAGCCTCGCAGCTCCTGGAGTAAAATTTACTTAACAGACCGCCTCTGAATTATCTGGTGGATTAATTATCTGGTGAGCACGACGTTCACTTGCTCAAAGTAAATAAAGTACCACCACTTTATTTATTTCATCCACCATTAAACAGAGACTGGTGTTAGGTGGAGCCACGTTCCCCCATCAGACGGTTCCCCCATCAGACGGTTCCCCCAGCGTCTCAAACAACAGAGGAGCTTCCCGACACACGTCTGACCTAAAGAGCACAAGCAGCCAACAAGTGTTGGACGTGTTTTGGATGTTCAAAACATAGCTTAAATACCTTTTATTTATTTTAACTGCATCATCTTTTGTTTATTTGATTTAAACATGTTCGCCTTCCATGGACCTCCATCACACATTTTTTCTAGTGGGGAAATGACATCAATAGAAACACATGGAGCTGGATATTAA